CCGAGCCCAGCCCACCCCTGGGCCGCCCCTCACTCCTCACTGGCGTCGGCGCCCGCACCTCCAATCCAGCCCAACTCCTTTCGTGCTCCAGCTTCAGCCCCGTTCCCAGCCCCATGGGTCGCCCCAGCTGATCGCCACACCCCACCCCTGGCTGCTCCCTCCTCAGTCCAACCCATCCCAGTCCCATCCCGATCCTGGCTCCGAGCCGCCCTTCCTCCAGCCCTGCTCCCGTGACCAGGGCGCCTCGGGCCATTCCCAGCCCCCACTCAGCTCCTTACCCCTCCATGGCCAGCCTGCTTCTGATCCACCCCATGCCTGTCCAATGGGGCCAGCCTAGGAGCTCCCTTGCCTTCCTCTCCAGCCTCACGCCTCCCAGAGGAATCCCAGTAGAGTTCCAGAAGCAGCATCTAACCCCACACTCCCAGGGAGGGCCTCCTCCAAGGATGCTCTGGGGCCCATCTGGCACCTTTATTTCCTAAAGTGCTGAGCACACAAAGGGCTGGGGCCTCCAGGAAGTCCCCTGCAGGGAAGTGGACACCATGCCAGGCCTCTCAGAACATCTCCATTCCTTACTGGGGTGGGACCTTGGAACCCTGCACAGCTCCCAGAAGCCTTTTCTATCACTACAGAACCTCCCAACGCTGACTCCCCTGAGCAGACTTCACCTGGTTCCATCTGCAGTAGAGGAGGAGGTGGTCCAAACCAGGCCTCTGAGCTCTGAGTTGGGTAGTTCGGTATGTCACGAATAAAGGACAGAGCCACATGTGTCTGCCACTGATTCCCAGAGCTCTGGAGTAGGGAGAACCCTTTAAAAACTCAAAGCCCAGGCCATTGCCTTGCTAAACTATGGTGTGGTCATGTGCTCTTTGAGCCATGGCCAGGCCATGTTTTCATGAGCTTTGGCCTCCTCTCCTCCCTTAGGGAAGTGAATCTCCTCTCTCTCTCTCATTTACTTTTTAAATAAACTATATTTTCTTTTCTTTTTTTTTTTTTGAGTTGGAGTCTCACTCTGTCGCCCAGACTGGAGTGCCG